GCGTTAATGCAACACACCCAAACCTCTGCAGAGCATTTCCCTTGGTAACACATGATATTTTGACTCAAATTAGTAAGTCCACTGACACTGCGGGACATATTCAATGCATTAAAACTTGGCAAGCAGATACTGCTATGGTCTGAGAGCTAAACAGGGAATGTGCAGAGAGCAGGTCTGTTTCTACTAGAGCCAACAAATATGGTTCATGCCTCTGGGCTATTTAACATTTTTATCAATGACCCAGGAGAAAGCCCAAAGCATTCCCAATAAAGTTAGCTGATGACATCGAAGTTGTAGTGTGGTAAATCCTGAAGATGATACACAGCAATCCAGATGCCTCAGTGAGCTGGGCACAAGCAAAGAAAATGCATTTCAGTACAAACACGTCAGATCACACCTCCAGGGACAGGGATGCAGGCTCTTCAAAAGCACCCAGAATGCCATTGCCAAAAGAGTTAAAGCAAAGACAGGATGTAGGAAAAGGGAAATCTCAGCATCCCCCTGGCACATAGGTTGTCACTACATACATGCATCCTGCACATGGGATGGTGGATCTGCCAATGGAAAGGCTAAAGCAGTGCCAAGGGCTGGGAAGAGCCAAAAACACTGGCTGAAAATCTTACCAGAGGACCAGAGACCATGGATTACTCCTGAAGAGGCTCACAAAAAGCAGAGGTGTGGGGATGGACAGAGTCCACCAAGGTCTGAGGTCCAAGTGCCAGGCACAGCCAGGGTGAGAAGGCAAAAGCCACTGGTGGAAATGTTTAACGGGCAGTTCTCCACCTCTGCAAACATTTACATCACGACTGGCTGTATCTGCTCCAGCTCAAACAGGAATGCTTCCTGTAAGAATCTAATTATCCCTAGGGCCTTACAATTTATTGGCTGGGTCCAGCATTATCAGTAATGGCCCAGAACTGAAGCAGGCACGGAGCCATAAATAGCCTTTTATCTCCAAAACATCATGTACTTATGGGACATGACTGTAAGACAGCTAGGACATACCCTTCCCCAGCACATCAGAAACCTGCATGTCCCTCCAAGCCCTTAGCATACACTTGCCCCCTCCAAAACCCAAGCATACCACAGCTGGGACACACTCTCTGCTCTCCACACCTCTGGGTCCTCAGCACATGTGACACACACATCACTGCTTCAGCACCCAAATTCCCAGCACACAATGGGGTGGTGGCAGATCTGCTGTGCCGGACCTCTAAATTACACACAAGCACAGGCAAGGAAGTCCATCATGAAGCCTACCTGTAGGGCACACATCTGCAAGGGCACAGCCCTGCCAAAACCGACCAGCCAGACCGATGCAGTCCCAGATCAGGAGACCCAGGTACCAGTCTGCTACAGCAACAACGCCAGAAGTCACGCTTCTCCCTTCAGAGCTGGATTTGGGCTCCAGGGAGAACTTATAACAGCTTTCCAATACCTAAAGAAGCCAACAAGAAAGCTGGAGAGAGGCTTTGGACAAGGGCCTGGAGGGACAGGACAAGGGGAATGGCTTGAACCTGCCAGAGGGGAGATTGAGATGAGCTCTGAGGCAGAAGCTCTTCCCTGTGAGGGTGCTGAGGCGCTGGCACAGGGTGCCCAGAGAAGCTGTGGCTGCCCCATCCCTGGCAGTGTTCAAGGCCAGGTTGGACACAGGGGCTTGGAGCAACCTGCTCTAGCGGAAGGTGTCCCTGCCCATGGCAGGGGGTTGGAACTGGAGGAGCTTTAAGGTCCTTTCCAACACAAACCAGTCTGGGGTTCTATGATGATTCCGTGTCCTCCAAAGATGGGGAGGAGCTGGAGCTGGACGCAGGGTTCAATAGCTAGGACCAGCAGCCAGGGACTGCCATCCCTGAGCAAGCAGAGACCCTCGCAGGCAGTGTTCTCTACCACGCAGCCCAAACGGGGAGAGCAGGCAGCACAATAGCTCTGCCTCCGCCATTGCAGAGGGGAGCCAATGATGCAGAGGGGAGCCAATGAATAAGGGAGGCAGAGAGAGAAATGCGCTTAATATGCTGCATGGGAGGGACAGGCGGGGGAGAGGGGGGAGGCAGCAGACAAAGAACAGGGAGATGGAGAGAAAAGATGCAGGC